TCGCCGGCCGTGGGCATCGGAGGAGCCCGCCTGAGCGATGGCAGCAGCTGCCCCGTGCGGGGAGGATTCCTCTCCAAAGGTCACTGACATACTTGCTCCAGCGGGCTGCAGGAGCCGGGCAGCCCATGGGGGCAGGGGCACCAGCCCCGACTTGCAGGGAGCCCGCGAAAGCTGAAGGAATCGGGACTCGTGGTGGAGGGGATCTCTTTTATTACACCGACTAGATTTTTGCAACAACAACACCAAAGAAAGAAAACTTTCATTGCAAGCTTTCGGGCAAGCTTCCCCTGCCCAAGCTTTTTTGGCAAAAATCTAGTTGGTGTAATAAGAGATCGCCTCCACCACGAGTTCGGAGTCCTTCGGCATCCAGACCAGTGGCTCTCAAACTTTCTTTTTGGCGGACCGCTTGAAAATTGCACATGGTCTCAGCGGACCACTTAATCCACATTTTTTTTTGTTCTACAAATCAAAGTGCACAGCTCCTATTTTCATATCAGTAGTCTGAGGTGATGCATGTGCCTGGGGTTTTTTTGAGCAAAGTTCTGGGAAGTCTGGTGTAGTGTTTGTCAGCTTTAGCCTTAGGTCACCTTTCTGCAGACCACCTGAATGGAGCTCGCAGACCCCAGCTTGAAAGCCTTTGCTCTAGACCCACCCGGCTACAACCTGGAAACCTGACAGCAAAGTTAACGCACTTGTGCAGAAGGCTCCTTGCAAGCCAACCGAGCTGAGAAGCTGCTAGCACTAGAAGAATCTTTGGGAGGTTCATCTTGCTGTCTCTAAATACTTAAGAATAGGGCATTTCATAAAGCTATTGATTTCTTCTCCCTCTGTGTTGTGTCTGTCCTGCCTGCTGTGGACTGGAGTCTAAAATCGTCCCTTTCCTTTTCAGTCCCAATTTGATCTCTTCCCACCAAATCTGGAACCTTTCCATTTTCCAGAGATGCTGAACACCACCTTTATTCTTCTTCATGTATAAGCAGAATGTTTTAATACAATCAAGAAGCCAACCTTTGAGCATGAATGTGATAATACAGTCCCCTCTGCCTTCACATGGAGGCACTAACTAGTTCACTAACTAGTTGCCCTTAGTTTATCAATCTGCCTTCACATGGAGCTCTTTTGCCTAGATGTATCAGTGGCCGTGTCTACATGAGACACTTTACTGTGCAGTAGACTAGTCTACTGTGCAGTAAAGTGTCAGCATCTACACGTGCAGGCACTTACTGTGCAGTAAAATTTACTACCTGCATAATTTACTATCTGCAGTAAATTTACTGCACAGTAGGGCTGTACGAAGCTTCGGTCCCTGATTCAATTCTGCAGAGATTCGGCCTGATTTGGTGGCCAAATCTCTGAATATGAATCGAATCAGAGGACCCTTTAGCCTCTCCAAATTGAATCGGGACCCTCCAAATTGATTCGGAGAGATTTGGAAAGATTCGGAGATTTGGACACAGACACAGATTTACATGTTTTTTCTACCTCTAGGTAGCAGGGGCTCATCAATGCTGTGATGCGGGGTGGATGGAGTGTCCCACAGAAGCATGGGGGGCTCCCCAGTGTGCTTGGCAGTAGACCTGAAAGTGGACTACAAGCACTTTCAGTCTACTTCTGGGTCTGCCAGAGACTGCGCAGGCCCCCCCGTGCCTTCCCCAGCTCAGCAGTTGGTGCCTCCTGGGTCGGGGGGGCGCCCGGGGTCCCCCTGTGGCTGATCACTGAGCCGGGGAGGTGCGAGGGGCCCCCCTGCACTCTCCCCGGTCCACGTCCAGGTTTACCACCAAGCACGTGGAGGCCCTCCCCACACTCTGGTGGGATGCTCAATGCACCCCAGCATCGCAGCGTTCACAAGCCACGCTGGAACCTTCAAGGTATGTAGAAAAAACATTTAAAGCTGTGTCTATGGCCAAATCGCTGATTCTCTGAATCAGCATTGAATCTTCAGATTCAGATTTGACTGAATCGAATCAGAGGCAGTGATCTAAATCAACAAATAGAATCACTGTCCCCGATTCAGGCCGAATTTGAATCTGAATCGAGTAGGGCCCACTTCGCACACCCCTACTGCACAGTAAAGCCAAATAGCATTAATTGCATTGCATGTGTAGACATGCCTAGTGTGATTTAAGCAGTGACCCTTGAGCCCTACCGCCTGCCCCCTGAGCCCCGTGATCCCTGCCCCACCCAGCTTCATCTTAAGCTGGTTGAGTGTCCACCAACAGTTAAGACAGTAGTTTCTACCTTTTTAGACTCAGGTCCCCCTCCCCCTTTTTTTGACCTGAGGCATCCCCCCATAACTGTTCCCAGTACATCCCCTTTCAACACTACTGTCTCCCACATCCCCTTTTACCATTTCCTTATCCCCCGCTTATAATTTCTTTACAAGAATTAGCACATTTTAGAAGACATAGCTGTCTTTCTATCCATTTTTTCCTCTTTTAGGGATACAAATTCCATAGACTTACATGTCCATACTTCCTTCAGTCTCTGAACTCCTCAGTCCATTTGACTTCACTAACTAGTTGCCTTAGTTTATCAATTTGCCCTTTTGAAATGAGAAGGTAGGTCAGGGTGGCACCTCGGAGACTAGCTTTTTCAGAGACAAGGGTACTTCTCAGAACCAGTTAGTCTGGTACATAACTGGAGGTAGGGCAGGGTGGCACCTTAGAAACAAATCAGCCTTTTGAAATGAAAAACGTTACTTGCATACCTTCATTTTGTTTCTCCTTCCATTTGATTCAAAATAAATTCACTCATGGACACATTATCAAATATTGTTTTCCAAGACAGCTATGTCTTCTAAAATGTGCTAATTCTTTACAAAAATTGGGCCCCTTGTTGATTCAATGACTGCTTGGTAAAGAAAACTGTTGGCTATCATGAAGGAATATCTGAGCCCCACCATCCTTAGTCCTGTTTGTTATCTTACCAAATATAGGCTAGAGAAAGTCTCCTCTAATGATATTTGTATGGTATTTGTATTGGTATGTTTATATGGTATTGGTATGTCTGTATGGTATTTGTATAGTATGATAGTATTTATGTCTTCATTCAGATCTCTATTCAGTTTTTCCTTTTGATAATACTCATTCCTTCTCACCCTAAGCTATTACTAAAGACCAGATTTTTCTGGTATTTAGGTGTCCAAAGATGCAGATAGGTACCTAGGAAATTTTCAAAAGCACTTAACGTTCATAGCTCCATTGAAATTAGGAGCCTAGAGGGATCTTTTAAAGTGCCTATCTGTATTATTAGGTACTTAAATACCTTTAAAAATCTTGTTTTAAATAACTATTTGAGCTTCGTAAATAGTTATGGAAAAACTTGAAGTGCAATTTTTAACACCTCAGTCATACTATATTACAGAGGGACACAGGCTATTAGGTATTTCTTGCTCATGATGTGCTCACTTGCCCTTTGAGAAGAGCTGCTGCTAAGTTATTACTTTCCCACTATTAGGCTGAGCCTTATTTCTGTCCTTTTCCCAATACAATGGTTACTACTATTCTGGGTGAAGCTCATTTTCAAAAAAAAAGATGCATGCCCCAGGTAATCCTTCATGGAACATGGAGAAAAAAGAGATTGATCCCTGTTTTGCTCTCAGAATAGTGGAGCTACACAGCCACAGAAGAGATAGAAAGTGTTAGAAACAGGATTAGAATTCATAAACTCTTACCTGCTTGTCATGTGCTCATAGCATTAATCCAGAGAACTGGGCTTCTCTTTTGCTCTCATGGAACAAGGTCCAAACTCCCAATTTCTTTCTCAGTTTTTCATTGTAGTTTAATATGTTGTCTTTTTACTATATCTTTTATGATCCTCTGGTATTAAAACAAAGAGGTCAAACACTCTTTCTTGGGTAATTTTGAGATCTGAGGTGATAGAGTGGAAAGGTACATTTGGGTAAATATAATCAAGGAAACTTTAGAATTTGGATTCTTTCTCAACAGTGTACTTTTTAAGGCTTTGAATATACTTCAGTATGCTTTTTGGCCTAGTTTTAATGCCAATTATTCATTCCTTTTTATGCAAATATGGAGTTTGATGGTTCTGAAGATGCAGGTGATTTATTTATTTTTATGAGAGTAGCAATGTTGTATGTTGTGTTCTGGAACTGTAATATATTGAAAGATGAACCTTCCTGCAGGTGTGAACTGCTATGGAATGTGACCTGTAATATATATTTTTTTCTTTTCCTTGTCTCAATTTAATTCATTCCTGTCAGAGAGTCACAGAAACCCCAAAGTATTTTGTGTTTCACAAAGTTTAAACCCTAGAAGTAATTCTTTTGAAACCAAAACAAACCACAGTAACTGGTTTGGTAAAGATAAAAGTAGAAACTTTTTCACATGTAATAAAACTACCACCTATAGTAGTCTTGGAAAATACAGTCTTATTGGACCAGATTCTGACATCCATACCTCATAATGAATAGCCTTGATCTGAAAGTCATCCCATTGACTACTTTGAAGCTACTCAGTTGATAGGATACCAGAACGTATTCCTTAAGCCTTTACTCCTCCTCTCAGTTCTAAAGTTTATTATGGTTTAGCTTTTACAGAGTAACACCCGGTATAAATGTAATATTTTGATTAATGTTCCCATAACATAATAATGATAGGTACAAGTTCATAATTTTGGACACATTCAGTGAAAGAATAGAAATGTTATTTTTGTGATTATGAATGTGACCACTTGTTTATCTTGAAGAGGCCATACAATGATGATAGATAAGTGGATGGCTATAACCATCTTGAATTAGCTCGCATTATGACTCTTAGCCTATTTTAATGTGCATTAAAGCATCAAGTCTGCTGGAGTGTGGTAATTACCGTGTTCCAGCAGACTTCAGTGTCATATGTATCAGCATCCCTGAGCTGAGAAATGGTAGTAGGGTGCTTAAAACTAAATCTTGTTCAATGAGCTTTAGTTCAAAGCAGCCTGCTGCCATTTTTTAGTGCAAGGACAC